TGACGATCCACAGCCTTCTCGTAACATTAGGGCAGTAGGTTAATAAACCACAAGTTAACCGAACTCCTTAAAACGACATGCCCGTCATATAATTCCCTCGCAGCCAAATCAAACAAATCCTTAGCCCCACAAAATCGGACAAAATATAGTGTCCTGATCCAGTATACACGCGTGCGATTATCGTACCACCTTCTCGGTTAACCATGGTTAAATTCCATTACTCCAGCAGTTTATATACAAACTGAACCAGTTCGCCAATACCACCAAAATATGATGATCGGAGAAAGAAACCACGATAGGCTGACCGTGCATGTACCTCCATGGTCCTTCAACACAGATGATCCGGCATCTTACAATCTTAGTCCTATTATGAACGTTAACGGCGGAAACGCCACCGATGACTCGATTAGGGTTTGTTTATTCGATCAGCGCTATTTGCCGTCGAACTCGATTAGGGAAGGAGATTTTGCGGTGGACGCGCACACATGTGATAATTTCATGATGTTTGAGTTTAAGGTGAGGAAATGCTCACTTGGGAAGTCACATGACTGGACGGAGTGTCCGTACGCTCACCCTGGCGAAAAAGCTTGCCGGAGGGACCCCCGGAAATTTCATTATTCCGGAAGTGCGTGCCCAGAGTTTCGTAAAGGGAATTGTAGAAAGGGTGACGATTGTGAATACGCGCACGGTGTGTTCGAGTGCTGGCTTCACCCTGCGCGCTATCGTACGCAGCCATGCAAAGATGGGCTTAACTGTAAGAGAAGGGTTTGTTTCTTCGCTCACTCGGCTGACCAGCTTCGAATTCTGAGTCCACGAGCCGAGTCGTACGACGGATCACCACACAGGCTCGCTTTCACATCATCGCCGGATTCGGGTTCTCCACCGACTGAGTCACCGCCGATGACTCCTGCCACCGCCACCTCCATGAGCTCCCTCAGCCGGTCGCTGGGCTCCAATTCAATCCACGAAATGATCGCTTCTTTGCGCCAGCTGCAGTTGAGTAAAGTGAAGTCCATACCTTCTTGGAATCTGCAAGTAGGTTGTTCTTCCTCCGGACTAGGTTCGCCCCGGTTTCCAATAACCCGACCCGGACACTTCAGTCTGCCATCAACCCCTACCAAGCCTGTACCCCGGACCGGTTTTGGGTACGCAGATGCCTGGGAAAAGGATGTTGGGTACGAGGAGGAGCCATCTATGGAGAGGATTGAATCAGGGAGGGATTTGAGGGTCCAGATGTTCGAGAAATTGAGCAAGGAGAATCCAATCGGCAACTGGAGTCCGAACCCAACCCCGGCTCAGGTCCCGAACCATGACGTCGAGTGGGTTTCCGATATGTTAAACTAAACCCTCGACCTTTTCTTTTATTTTTCTCTTTTAACTACTTGATCAGTTAAGACAGTGGATATCGTTTGATCATAACATAATCAACTTTATTAAGCTGGTTTCTGTTCTGAAATTCGACTAATGTTGAGAAATTTGTGTTTTTCTTAACCTATTAAAAGTTTGTGAGAATGTATTCAAAATATTGGATAATGCTTTCTCTGTCTTTTTAATTTTTACTGAATATTATTGTAATTTATTTTTTATCAATTATTATAACATAATCAAGTGGAATGTGAACTCTATTTACTATAGTAGAGCAAAGGAACTCCTTTTTAAAGGTTAAGGATTAATTTGCCAATCAACTAATAGATGGAATACTAAGAGTGCAATTTTTTTCTCATATAAAGCCATAGGCCATTATAATATTTACGTACAGCTGATATTTTTGCATGTAATTGATTGAAGATGGTAAAAAGTGGGCACAGTTGTCTTGCGTCATGTCAATACCATCATAAAAATTGTAATTTTCCTGTGGAAATTACCCAACCTTCTATTCAATTGCTTCAAGTCTTCGACCATTTCGCAGCGCGTGCTTAGTATACAGAACCACGGAAGTGTTTCACTCGACCAGCCAACCAAGAAGGTCCAGGATGGACTTGTTGGCCAAAAAGAAAACTCGAGAAGTCAGCACGCTTTTAACTCTGTAACAACTGCTAATCTGGAATTTTGAGCATTTGCCTCAAATAATATACATATATTCAATATAGATGGAAATTAAGTGTTTCAACCAGTTGAAAACCCCGGTTCTTAACTTTCACAATCAGTTGAAATGACTTCAAATTTACCAGTTAAATAGAAAAGAAAAACGTTGCTTAAAGAGCCATTTCTGCTTGTAGAGCAGCGAGTTCATCTTCCTCAGCTGTAGGCTTATGAGAAGCAGGGCGAGCCGGTACTCTGCCTGCTGGAAACTGTACTGGAGCAGCAGGGGCTGTGGTTGCAGGCTGAAGAAGTTGTTCCTCCAATTCCGCACCTTCCAACTCTTCAAGCTCCGCCTCCAATTCATCCTAGAATCACCAGAAATATTCGCATGTAAGCACAGAAGTTCAAGTACTGGAAATAGTAAATAAAACACTGGATGGGCCTTAATAACTTCAATATATAATTAAAGCTTCAAAAACCTCAGTAGAATAGAAATATGACATATACCTCATCAAAGTCAGCTGCTGCACCAATGGGGGTAGCCAAAGCTTCTTGAATCGTCTTCATGTTCTCGGTCTGTTCGTTTATCTCATCCATTGTCTTGTCCACATCATCAATATTCCTGCAAGTTAGACGCACATAAAATGTAAGGTATTCTACCCAATACACAGGGACAGCAGATAAAGAACAGATTTATTCCATAAGACCTGCTTTTCTACATAGTTTAAATCAACAACTTACGTTGCTTTCTGCATTGCTTTCATTGCAGCTGCTCCAGATCTTAAAGCATCAACAGTTTCAGTTGTAGCTTTTGCACCTTCTAACAGTATCATCTAACAATGGAACGTTTGACATATGAACTCAAGTGAGACTTCGTCTAAGAAATTCATTAATTCATTGAACATTATGCAATATCAAGCAAATGGAAATTGAAAGCTAACCTGATCATGGATGCGTAGTTGGAAATTCCCAAGCTGCTCAATTTGTTGTTCATATAGCCTCTTCCTCTTCAAACATTGTATAGCCGCTACATGATAAAATGTTTAAAATTAACATCAGTTAAATTCTTGTTTTATGTAAATTCCTCGGTGTTACAAAAGGGATAAAGAAAACCACAATCATTAGTTGCAAGTTTCAATGCTCAACTTCTTGAATTATTCAAATCATACTCGAAATTTTTTTAGTTAATGACATCTAAAAATGTGTTAATTGAAAATTATGGGGAAAATGATATTATGGCTATTGATACAAGTAAAAAGAAGAGCTAAAAATAAAGAGTTTGCTGGATTGTATAAAGAAATTTACCCTTTAAATTTGAAGATGCTCTCAATTATGGACAAGATGCTCTTTAAAAAAAAGGTCTTGGAGATGCTCTAAATGTTCATATCATTTTAGTACAAATATCTTAGATAGACAGAATGACCTGAAATATTGAACTCCAGTATTACTGCAATAACTCATGAATGCTAGAATTGGACATCTATAGTTTGTTCCTCCTTACACTAACTTATAATTTTTTTATTTTGGTTTATTATATTTTTTTCAGGCTTTTGTTGTGTGGGTTCTTGAAGAATTTTTGGATCATACCTCTTTTGTTTTTTGCTTTTGTAAAAGCCTTGGCCTTCTCGACCTCAGCATAAGCCTTCTTCTGAAGTACTGTTTCCTTCTTCTCAAGCATCTCGAGAGTCTACACAAACGCAAGAATGAAAAAGTCAATTTGTGGAAAGATAGATAACAATCAATACATCTAGGTAAAACTAGAGCAAGTTATAACTCTTGACTAATTCAAATGCTTCAAGCAAAAGCTTTAGAATCAAACCTGGTCACAAATAGATATGTATGCTAGTATCAACTTAAGCACATAAAGAAATAATTGCTCCATAAAAAGTGTAGCAAAACTCGCAATACTTTTCAAAGCCTGGACTCAGATGCCAAAGAATACAGACTAGTTAATTTTGCCATTTGATTATATTTCCTGTTCTCACTTTCTAGTAAGCTATTTTCCAAATGACAACAATAAAAATGAAACACCCAAAATGTGTTTGTCATAGGACTACTTTTCATATTCTTTGGTTTGTAAGTAAATATCTTATATGTAGTAGCAAGAGAGGAAGACAAATAAACAGTAAGGCTATCCTACACTCTGATACCAGTATTTTTTAATGAAAAACTCGGCTTAAACCATACAGGTAGATTCCATTTCACAACAATTGATAGATGAGTTCTATTTTAGGAGTAAATATGCACCAATTAGAGAGCGATAACCAGATGTGACTTAAAACAGCAACAAAAGAACCAAAGCAAGAAATTATTTGGAACTGCAACATGTTAATATGCAGGATATTATTATCTGCAAATACCACTGATGCGGTTTCCAATAAATCCAAGTTCACAATCAAGTTGTCAGCTTGGATCAAATAGCCCAGTGTCTGATAATCCCAAGCTGAAACAATTTGACAACAGACCACATCAAGAAACTAACTTTACATCGCTTTCTTCTTTTGCCTTTTTATTTTACTTTTCCTTGGTTTTCGTAATTGAAGAGTGCAGATTAACAAAACTATAGTCATATACAAAGCAACAACTGCAAAGCTTGATCTGCTTTGTATCAATAATTCTAACAATAGAAAACTGAAAATAAGATCAATACCGTAAAAGAATCTAAAACTTCAAATTTATTTGCATAAGCACATAAATTATTAACAAGAAAACGCGAAAAATTATACCTCGTTTAATTTATCAAGAGTGGTGAGAGCATTAGTCTCTTGCTTAGGTTTTCCAAACATCCGGGTAAACATCTTGGATCCGGTTCGATTCTGATTCAATAACAACTATTTTCTCACCAGTATTCCTCTGCAAACCAAAATACAAGATAAAAAAATACAGTTACAGGAAACTTTGGCACCAAATTTTTTTGTGAACTATGATCCCCTAAACAAAGATCAGGTTTTATTCAGAAAAAAACAAATTTTCGTAAAATTAATAACCAAAATAAACAAACAACAAGCGTACCTGTTAATTGAGGGATCGGGTTTCCGATCAAGAAAGTTATGAAATATGATTGACTGATTGTAAAGTGGTAGTGGCTATTAGGGCGAAATGTTGAGAAACTGCGAGGAAAGAAGAAAGAACGAGTATTCTGATAATTTGGGTTGACGTAGCGGCTTGGTTGTGTAGGAAAACCATTTGATTACATTTTACTTCAGAGTTGACTTTGACTTTTGTGATTGGGTTTTGCTACGTGTACGATTATATATTGGACGTGGACCCCTATTGCAAGAGAGTGTACAAATAGCAAATTCCTACATAATTTCTCACAAAAAATGAATATTGCATTTTTTTAAAATGAGAAAACTGCCATAAATATACTTTCTAGTAAGAGTCGCACGCGTTATCGAAGATCTCCATCATGACTATGATGACACCAAAATATTTCACGTCTCAATTAACCAATTCTCGTGCACAAGCAAGCAAGTACATGCTCTGACGGGCCATAATATTACAATGTTAACTCAACGCTTGTAATATATAGAGCATGTCTGATATATATTATTTTTGAAAAATATATGGTTAAAAAATATGAAATTTTTTTAAATTTGTTTGTAATATTATTTTATTGAAAAATGTGTGATTTAAAAGAAGAGAAAAAAATAAATTTTAAAAATAATATGTATCTAACAAAGACAGTACAAAATTCGCACATGCAATAAACACCCCTAACTACTAGGTGGTTAACATAGCCAAATCGTCGTCCCATTGTCAAGTCACATGACATCTTTTGCTCATTTTTGTCACTGAAATGTGAATTGAAATTAGCTTGGACAACAAGCTTACCACAGATTTGCTGCAAAACTCATGCCTACACCGGCAGGTACGGATGTAGGGGGATTGGGCCAAGGCTCAGTCCACAGCCCACTGAATTTTAATTTCACGTGTAATTTATTTATTTATGTATTAGCACTGGTAATTCAGTCCTGGATCCATTTTGTACACCGATACTTGAAATTGGTGCACACTACCTTCTGTCCTTTGAAGTCGGCTAATTCCACCCATGCCATGCTACCGTCATTTAAATCAGTATTGCATGCCTTTGTTTATTTCAAACGCGAGCACCACGAGTACATTCATACATACCAAAACGTTGCATTGCTTCCGTTCCACCAAATGTGCTCATTACCCCACCATCACAAACACACGTCCAGCAATGGCATCGCCATCGAACAAGACAACAATCGTGTCATGTTCATTTTTCTCGAAAGGGATCTAACACTAACTATTTACGAAATATCAACTATTCATAATACTTGACAAACTAACCACTTCGTACAGAAAACCCTAAAAATTATATTGTTGTGCTTTCGGCACTACATTTGAAAATCTATATTTAGGAATGGATGCGTTCTACTCATCCTATTCTACAAGGAATTAAACAAATCTAGCATCAACGACAACTGTAAAAATGAAATTATTGCTTCCATGTCTAACTATGGAACCAAACAGGTTCCAATTCAGTCCAATTCGATTCTTTATAATGTTTCAAGAATTCCAAAACTGGATTGAAAATAGAAAAAATAGTGTCCAACCAGTTCTTTAATCTAACAATACAAAAACCAATTAACCAATACATTTTTTTATGACTAGCATATTAAAATGACTCCTAATGTACTTCCATAATAAAAATGAGACCTAAAGTGCCAAGATTAAAAGAACCAAGTAAAAGTACCAAAAAAACCTGCTTTATGAAGTTGAAAAATAGACAAGTTAAGAATGTAACATGGAGTCTAAATAAACATCAACAAGTGTTTTTATGTGTTCAAATATGTTGCAATTAGAAAGCTATAGGCCCTGTTATTGTCGGCAATTGCATTTAGGATTGTGACAGGCATTCAATGACTGGGCCACAAAAATCAATATTATGAATTTTCAAGTGAGAGCCCGGGGGCAAGGGAAGCGCTTCGGCCAGGATGGTATGGGTGACACTCATCGTGAATTGATTCTATGAAAATGTTGTCATCAACATATAAAAGATGGATAGGAGTTCTACCACCAGAATGAGCAAATCAGTTGACCACATGATCACCCTCTAAACGATCAAAATAATGTAAAATATAGAGATAAATTTTGTACTCGGTTAATTTCTTAATCCCTCTGGTCAGATGCACACCGGTCGGTTTTTTTTACCAGATACCCCTAAAAACCATACGTGAGTCTCTCCGCACGTGGCTCATGCCATTCAAGGTTCGGTAGTTTATGCCCACCGTCGTGCTGAAATAAAATAACCAAGGGTCCGTTTGATTGTAAAGGTGGAAAGAAAATGTTTTACTGAAAATTGAATTGCCTAGAAATTATTTTATTGGGAATTGTAATTAATTATATTTGATTGATATAATTTTTCACTTGAAAAATGTTGAAAGTTTTGTGTCCGTTTGACTTAATTTTTTATGAAAATTGTCTATTAAAGTAATAATGTTTTCTACAATTGTATCTAGAATTTGTTCCAATTACTAAAAAGAAAAAATAATAAAAATTTAAACAATTAGAAAAAATTACCATATTCGTTTGACTTTATTTTGCATAGAAATTGTTAACAAAAGTGAAAATTCTTTTTGCAATAGTTGATAAAATTTGTTACTAGGGCTGTCCATGGGTCGGTTCGGTTCGGTTCTGAAGATACCCGAACCGACCCAAAACTTTCGGGTATTTAATAAATG